GTTCTCCGTGTTATATTTGAGCATCCTGCTTCTCCCCTTTTGTATGTTGAGGCCTACTGATGCAGATGCTTCTGCTACACTAAATATCTTCATCTACATCTGTTGATATGTATGCAAAAGAAGGGCTAAATAATCTAAAGTCCAAATCGTGTAGTTATATGCGAGCTGTCTATTGTATTTCATGCTTCCCTTGAGATGTGGAGGTCTTCATAATCCACTCAACCACTAGAAGAAAGAGAAAAGGTGAGAATAAGTAGCATTGTCTGACACCGGTCCTCACTTGTCAGCTGTCCTCCAGGTGCGACTTTGCAGTGTAGTTCGTCGTATGACAGTCTTAGGTAGACCATAGTGTCGAAGAAGGTTCCATAAGATTCTCTCACCCACGCTGTCAAATGCCTCATAGTTAAGGAAGTGATATATAGTGACAAATTCCATCCAATTGATTGTTCAACAATGATCCGTAGTGTCGTGATGGTTTGTGCACGACTTATCTTTACGAAATCCGACCTGTTGATCTCGAAGCTGGACGTCTACTGAATGTTTTTATCCGGTTGAGCAACACTGTTGGAAACTTTCCCTGGTACCGACAGTAGTGTGATACTTCTATAGTTTTCACATTTGCTCAGATCTTTCTTTAATATATTGATGAGGTGTCCTTCTTTTCAGTCTGTCGCCACTTGTTCTTCTTCCCAAATCTTCCTGAATAGGACGTGGAGTATCGTTGCAGTTGCTTCTCTGTCCGACTTCAGTGCTTTGGCTGGTATACTACCATGTTCTGCTTTCCAACCCTTCATTTGTCTGATAGCCATCCTGATTTCTATCGTTGCTAGAGTGACGTCAATAGGAGGGTTGTAGGTGTTGCTCCGATATCCGGTGGGTTCAGTAGGGCTGTTCTGTTCAAGAGTTCCTTGAAATATTCCACCCATCTGTTCCTTTGTTCAATGTGTTTCACTTATTCCGAGCGCCATCGAGTTGTATCCTCATTTTCTCAGATGTTCGCTTGGTCCTCTCGGTCTTTCACATTATCCGAATGTTCCATATGGCTATATTAATTATTGCTGTGGTTGTTAGAAGGAGCATGGATCTCGTGACTTCCGAAGAATCTCAGTTTTCATCATGAGGTGTCATAATTATTCCTTGAACTCGGAGGGTACAGTTTAAATTGTTTATTCTGGTTAGCGCTTTTTAACAAGATTGTTTTCTACGTGATGGGGTTGCTGGCCCTATACACAACCCTCTTTTACCCGGGCTTGGGACCGACAGTAACCCTAGAAGATCTATATGCGAAGTTGAGGGTCGTTAGGTATTGTATTCAGAAAGTCGTATAGTCTGAGTGCAAGCTATCAGTAAACTCATCAACTCAAACCTCTGAAATTATATATATATATATATATATATATATATATATATATCACTTGCATCCTTTCATAATTACAAACGTACAGTAGGCTAGTGTCATAAAACAGTTAAATTATTAATTCAACAAACTAAAATTTTCCCGAGATGATCTGTGTCAGTGTCATAAGTTGAAAGCTTGTTCAATTGTACGATTATATACTAAGCAGTTTTCCAGAGAAAAATAACCAGTTAAACCTTCGTCTTCATGCATTCAATTAAAAGGCTTCTAACCACTAATTGGTCTTCCTACAGTGAAGAATGTATAAGGGGTAACTTGGTATGTTGTTTTTAATAGTTTCTACAGTTTCTTTGTCAGTGTTATCCGACTCGCTTTTTTGTGTAGTTCAGTGCTCCTTATACAGAATTTAGGAATTTCAGAGGACTGCATGGTACTCTCCATTCTGATTATCTGTAGATTAGGCCACTTCCCCTCATTTAGATCTTAGTTGTTAGTCAGAAGAACTGTACAAACATCTTTACTTTAAATACTGGGTGAAACAAATGGTTAGCAACTATTGCTTAATGGTGAAGTCGCTCAAAGTTCGTAGTATTTAATATTCAAATTCAATGTAGGGGATTACTCGCTGTTTCTATATGAAGTTGGCCAGAAGTCGTAAAAGGTACAGTTATAAATTCTAAACATTTTGAGTACATATTGTTACTGTAGTTGTTGAGAAAACTGTACCATCGTGTTCACCAAACACCAGGATGGTGTCTAGGTGGCCCTCGTCTATGGGAATCTCTATGTAGGAAATAAATTCATCATAATGGTGACAGAAGTAAATAAAGGCTAGATATATTTCTCACAAATTAACTTAACCAATGATTTATGTTACTGTTTGTTCACATCTTGATGTTCTCGCATATTATGATGCTGAATGATCGCCTTATCTCCCGAACATGGCCATTAAAAGAAGCTGCGAAAGGACTGCTTACTGATCAGTTAAAGTCCAACAATTTGCTAAACTTATTGTCCAGATGTCATTTTAAACACAAAGTTGTAAAATAAAGGATTTTGTAGGTTACCAGCACTGATCGTTGATCCTTACTTGTCAGTCGTACCACTAGACTAAATCCATTCTAATTCATTATGTAGTCACTAAACTGGACCTAATGATCAATTTTCCACCTGTTAGCATTCAGTTGTGTTTGGATATTGGAATTCTTATATTCATCGTTAGGAGATGGCATCTGTCTGTTACAGCAAAAAAGAGAAAAATGGAAGTACTTTATCATCGAACTTCAGACAACTTTGGGGTAAATATGACGTTCTCTTGAACTGTCATAATCGCTAATGGTATGGAACTCAAGATTTAGTTAGATTATGTAGCTAGAATCCAGTGATCTACATTTTATAATGGGATAAGTATTTCTGTCGGCATTCACTATACAATGAGTAACTTAACTAGGAAGCATAATAGGGTGTCATTAATAATGCACCCATATAGTATACATCGTTTGGACTTACGAAACGATTTGACAGAATCCATAAAGGTGATTAAATGCGGTAGGGATTTAAGTAAGTTCTTGAGTTGTTTACGACCAAAATGGTGTTCAATTTTATTTTTAATAACACTTCACATTATTAAGTTGTCAGTGTCATCTTCAATTTACTGAAATAACTGCTCACTGGAATATTAAATGTCATTATGTAATTATTACGTAACGTATCCACTCGATGAGTATTATATTATTATTGTAAAACATATATATATTAGTGTAGAGCCATGATGAAAAACTAATTGAAAAGAAATTTCTTTGCTCGATTCGTTCCTTCCTTATTTACCAAATAGCAAAATGGGAATTTTCACTATATTGAAACGTTCTGAGCAAACATTTGCGTTAAAGGTTCTCAATGAGTATCTGAAGTATAGCGCAAGGCTCAGTGAGGCGATGACAAATGTTGATTTTATAAAGGAATGTATAGAAACCAACTTGTATCCAAAGTTGTATTGGAAATCTTTACGTCGCTCTCGAGATCGACCAAATGGAAGGACTCTCAAACGCTTCGCTCTTAACCAAGTCGATTCTATAAACTCATACATTACCGAGGTAGTAAAAAATATCAATGAGAGAATTTACGCTGTAGAAGACCTCCCTGATAAATTAAGGGAACAATATCTGGACTATGTCGAGATGGTTGTTAACTCAAGAAAAGAATGAAACTTAAGAAAAATCTAGACAAACAAATTCCAGAAATGAAATTTCCATCTAATCCAGATCAGTACGTACACAATTTCTCTAGTGTTATGCTGGACAAAACTACGTTAGAAGCGTTATCACTAGGCCCTAAGTTTTGTGACTTTAAGAAAACAGTCAATAAAATGGACGTGGAAATTCAATTCGAAAATCTTCATGCTCAAACGTCAGAACTAGTAACTTCATCAAAAGATAATGTCGAAAGATTTAAATCAACACTAGTCGACTGTTGTTTTAAATACGTAAATCATAGACATAGCACGAAAGGGATTTTGACGAAAAAACATACAGAAGCTCTAAGAAAACTTAAAACTAATGACAATTTATTAATCACGATACCTGACAAAGGACATGGGATAGTACTCATGGATAAAAATGACTACATAAACAAAATGAAAGCCCTTCTAAATGATAAAAGCAAATTTCAGAAACTGGCTGTGAAAATCGACATAGCAGACAAGATTGAAAAGCAACTAACTGATTCACTGAAAGAAATTAAACAACGAGGTTTTATTTCAGAAAAGGTGTTCGAAATGTTGAAACCTACAGGAACAATTACACCAAGACTATATGGCCTACCGAAAAGTGGCTTGCCCCTTCGACCAGTATTAGATAGGAATAACTCGGCGTATCATAATTTAGCAAAATGGTTGGTACAAATTCTTCAACCATTACACAAAGAAATTGTCAGACATAGTGTCAAGGATTCCTTTGAATTTGTGGAGAACATAAAAAATCTATCAGTCAAGAATAAATTCATGATATCACTTGACGTATCATCATTATTCACTAATATTCCACTACTCGAAACGGTTGAATTTATTTGCAATGAACTAACGGCGATACGCATAGAAACCCCGATTCCCGCATGCGCGATAAAACAGTTAATTCTTAGATGCACTATGAACGTCCAATTCAGATTTGACAATGAATACTATAGACAACTAGATGGAGTCGCCATGGGATCACCATTCGGCCCTCTGCTGGCTAACATTTTCCTTGCAAAACTGGAAAATGGACCACTTAAAAGTACAATTACCCATTTACCAACTTATTATCGCTATATAGATGATACCTTCATAGTATTAGAAAAAGAAAATGATAAGCACAATTTACTTAATATATTTAATAACGTTCACCCATCAATTAACTTTACATCAGAAGATGAACAGAATAATAGCATATATTTTCTAGATGTCCAACTAACTAGAAGAACAGACAGAACTATAAAAAGAAGGGTACACAGAAAGTCAGCAGCTGGTCAATACACTCATTTCCACAGTGCAGTTCCAATCAGATACAAAAGGAACTTAATAAAGATCTTGACACATCGTGCTAGAATGATCTGTTCTGAAGACACTATTGAAGATGAATTGAACAATATTCGGAACCTACTCAGTCTGAATGGGTACCCAATGAAATTCATCGAAAAACATATGACGGAGAAGAAAACAAGGACAAAAATACCCACTGTCCCCAAGAAGGTATTATTCATAAAACTACAATTCATAAATGACACCATTGAAGAAGTCATGACTCAGAAACTAAGAAGAGCTGTACAAAAAACATTTAATGCTGCCAAATTAAATGTCATCTTCTACAACCACCCGAAAATAAGAACATCCATTAAAGACAGACTGCCAGAATTCGCCAAATCTATGTGTATCTATCGTTTCAACTGCTCCTGTGGGGCCAGTTACATAGGGCGTACAATTCGACAGGTCCGTCACCGTATTACAGAACATCATCCAACATGGCTAAGCAAAGGATAGGTGAAAGTGATTAAAAGTTCTATTCTCTCTCATTTGGTTGACACAGGTCATCAAGTCGAAGTGAATAAAGCTTTTAAGGTTATCTACAATATTCCATCAAATCTACCACATGGTTTACGAGTGCGCCTTTTGCACATTGCGGAAGCCATCGCAATCCATGTTCACAAACCTGACCTTTGCATCCAAAAGAAATTCGTACAACCACTTTCTCTACCCTGGCCTTCAGTATAAAATTTCCGTCAGAAGAACTATTTTTCATACTTCTTCCATTTTTTATTTTAATTTTAAATTTTTGTAATTTTGTTTCTATCGCTTTTGAGCCTTATAACTTCTCAACATTAATCTCTTGATTCTTACGTAACTACTATCCTATTGACCATCCGGTAAAATTCTATTCCTTCTTCGTTTCTTATATTACGCAACATAGCAACTTCTTGATTACTTTGAATATTAATAATCCTCTTTCTTCCAATTACTCAATGTTAATTTAACTGTCATTATGTAATTAATACGTAACGTATCCACTCGATGAATATTATATTATTATTGTAAAACATATATATATTAGTGTAGAGCCATGATGAAAAACTAATTGAAAAGAAATTTCTTTGCCCAATTCGTTCCTTCTTTATTTACCAAATGTAGTTTTAGTTATCATTGTTAGCAAAGAGCTGTCAACTTAAGAAGACCGGTCATATTACAATTTTACGAACTATGATAGATGGCTTGTTAGGAAAACACGCTCAGAGAGGGCATCTCAATAACTCAAACCTTATGTTAGTATTTCCGTTATATTCAAAACTCTCACCAATGTGTCATTTATATTATTGATTACAGTAATGATAATGATCCTTTACTTCTAAGTCTCATGTTTTGTATTTTCAGTAAATTGTATGGGCATTATAAAAAAGTAACGCATTGTCACTCGAGTGAAATGCTCGTGCTTATGTATCAGCTTTAATAATACAAGTATTAGTGAATAAAAAAATGACAATGCAAGTTGTCAAGTACAGATTCGCGTACTCGATGTTGAACCACACTTTATATGTAAAGGTAAGTGATACTGCCCAATTACTCAGACTGAAATAGGTGGAGCAGGACAGATATTTCCTTCTATCAAAGTATCTTTTAACTTATTTATTTATTTAAGAATTCGCACTAATAATAAAGAATAAAATATGAATAGACTTTTATTCACAAACAATATAAAACTGAATATTTATAACATTTATAATATAAAAGGTAATTCTATTAGGTCTAAATTTTATAAGTAGTAAAAAGAAAATCTTTACATTCCTTTTTATTAGACTTACAAATCACAATCAAAATATAAACCTGTAAAGCTAACTGAATATTTAACAGTGTTAATCGAGTCTCCTGAATAATAGCTGGTATATATATATATATGTATATATAGAGTGTTCCTTGTTTAATATTTAGAAAATTCAATTTTAACTTCCATAGAAAAATATGTATCGAAAAATTTGCCTTTCTTTAAAATGTCAACTAGAAAATACAAAGTGAAATTTTATAAATTAATGAGATTGTGTAAATATGTTTTTTCTTTCTTTTTCTTTCTTTCTTTCGTCTCTACTAGTTTGGTTGATTAATAAAAAATAAACTTGAATGAATGAGTGTGTGAAATAAATTGTTGTTTATAGTTTCAAACAAAAATAATGACACTTTTCAAATCTCATATTATTATTATTACTATTGTCATCATTTGGTAAAATATATAGATATATAAAATGAGTTTCGTATTAAAAGTTTCAATATCATAAATGGTTTTATGATATTCTGACTTCTAAGTTGATTCTTATTGAAATATTTCGGAATTTTTGTTTATCTATTGATTGACATTTTTATTCTTCCTTTTTGTTTATTTCTATTATGTCATTATTATCATCAACTTTTTTTTTGTACAAAAAATAGGGCGCTTCTAACATTTATATTGTTTGTTTGTTTTCTCTCTGTAGACTTGTTTGTGCTGTCATAGTAAACAGAAAAAAAAATAAGTGGATGAAAGAATAAATAATTTATTATTATGTTAGTGTTGTAAATTCGACATTTTCTCACATAGAATTTGTTGTAGTTATTGTTGGTATTTATTCAATTTTTTTTTGGAAATTCACTGATTACAACAAGCTGTGAGGAATGTGATTTACATAAGCTACATCTATTTTCTAAACCATAATAAATGTTTAGGTATGGTAGCTTTTATCTTAAAAGTTAATCAACCTGAAACTATAGTTCTGTCAATTAAGTTGACAGTTGGTCGATACTCAAATGCATAAAATTCGAGCCTCGGTATTTCCTACGAATGTAATTTTCTTGTGCTTACTGCGATTTTCTAGCTGATGAAATGTATGTTTTTAAGCAAGAAGTATAAAAACAAATTTCTTTGTCAAGCAAATGTTTTTGTTAAATAATAAAGATAATAATAACGTCTATATATAACTTCCTAATGCTAATCTAATTTTATCGATGGTGAGAATGGGGGTACGAAGCATACAGCTGTTTAGTACAATTGCGTAATTTGTTTATTATTGAGCAAGTGGAGAAAATGTGTAGGGAACACAGCATCTAAATTAGATTTTCTATCTATCGTTAATTATCAATTAGCTACATCTCCAATTATGGGAAAACTTCTCCTTAACCAGAGATTTGTACCAGAAATATTTAGCATTGGTATAAACTGTACGAATATCAGTCATCTAAACTATATAGGCTAAATAAAATATTGAGGTACATTTATTCACCAGTTTCTTGGCAATACGTCATACCATATGTGAAGGCTGATAATACTATCCATTTGCGCAAATCAAAGCAGGAGGAGCTGGGTTCGAAACAGGTTCAGTAGCTGAAAATCGAATACCTTAACTACTAAGCACTCCTGATAATCGGCTCATAAATAGTAATTCAAGCAATATCATTTAGTTTCCACCACAGATCAGGCTATATTTTTTGTAGTTGTAGTATTAGGACAAACAGTTTGGAATGAAAAATTAAGTATCCGTCTAGCAAAGTTCTCGACTTGGAATTCAGGTCAACACAGGACTCCCTACTTATTTTATCCAGCTGTTCGATATTCATATTGGAGTTGTAGTTGTAAGCCTAAATTTTCATCGCTGTTGGGCGTTTGCAAAGATGTGTAAATTCATTCAATCCGGATATATTCGTAAACAGTCATACACAGTGCAATGATATTTACAATATTTTATTTCCAAAAGATCTCATACCACACTTAGGCTCTCAGTTAAATGCTGTCATTCTTTTCACATTATAGTAATTTTTGAAGTTTGCACCCAAATAACACCTAAGACAGATTTATTGGTCATTATGAGTTTTATTATACTCGTGTTACTATTTTCATATTAAAATAAACCAAAAAGGTCAATGGCATGCTGAGTAATAAGAGTTTTCACTAATAAAAAGTTTACAGTTTTGCACTGTGAACAGTTTGTTTTCTGCTTTCTAATATCATATGAGATCTCTTGACATGAATATGTTTCAACAGCAAAGAGTAGGTTCTCATGCAATGAACCAATTATGTAGATGAAAGACTTGCTATAAATAATTGTATACATATCACATTTAACCTGTAATTAAATGTCATAGATAAATAATCAGTCATTAGTAAACAGTTATCCAATATAAACTGTTTATTTAACGTGTAAGTAAACGTGTACCGGTTTTGTATATATTGCAATTAACTTGATAATGATGTACTGTGCACACATAAATTATTTTCTACTTCATTGTTTTTTTTTAATCATGGATAACTTACGGGTTAACCATTTTTTAGGGGATTGTATAAATTTTCTAGAATTTTTATTTTTCTCATAGCATAAACCACCATTTGTTGTTGATTCGGTCAATATTGTTGACGTCTTAGATATTCCCGGCGTGTTTGTGATTGAATTGGTCATTGACTGTGTACATGATGGTATTATTGAAGCAGGCAAATAATTATCATTATTTTCTTTCACATTTAACGTCATCTCATCATGAATATGAATACTAATGTTGTCTGTATAATTATTTTGAATAGATTGTAAATTATTTGAATTGTTGATTTCATCAATCCCTGTTAATTTTGATTTCATCGTTATCATGTTACCATTTAAATGCTTTTTTACATCATTTCTAGAATCATGATTGTGATTTACATTGGATTGATCATTCAATGTTAAATATTCATTGTGCAATCCGTTTTCTTGTTTTACGCAATCTTTAAATTTGTCCATTTTATTATTATCAGTAGTGGTAGAATTATTACTGACCTTGTTTAAAATATACTTATTTTCACATAATGGTTGTGTACAATTTATCAGTTCTTTATCATTTAAACAAGGTAGTAGTCCGTTAGATAGTACTGACTGATCCCTTTCCTTGAATTTTGTGGTTGTTGAATTGACTTGGTTAGTTAACTTACACTGTTGACTTATTGATTGATTGAATACATTCAAATAATCTTTCTGTTTTCGATCAGTTGAAATTGAACTCAATGATATATCATTTGTAGACTTGAATTTTGTTGTCGAATCGATTTTAGCAAGATTTTCATTCATTAAACTTTCTTGTTGTCGATCATTTGTGGATTTATTATTGGTTTCAATGGGTTTCTGTTTTCGACTTTTTAATCCATTTGAACGTAATAATGGTTTTGCAACTGAATTCGAGCATAGTTTTGTTGACAATGATGATAAAGAGGACGACGTTGTTGATGGTTGTGATGATGGAGATGACAAAGATGATGACGATGAAGATGTGAATTTTGTCGGTGATTTGTTCATTGAGGATGCTTTTACAGAATCAGTGCCATTTTTCACCGGGTTGCTAAGTGATTTCATATCATTACTTAATAATGGATAAGATTTTCGATTATTAACAGACTGACTTGATTTTAATGGATTTCGATTAATTACACTTTTATTGGTATTAAGCTTCGCAATTGAATCATTTTGAACTTCTGATTTTGACATACCATTAATAGAATGCTTATTGGTTGGATATTTGTTGCAATCAGGTTTTATCGACGATTCATTTATTGGCAATTGTTGACTACCATTATGTGACTTATCTATATTATTACTACTATTACTATTAGGTATTAAACATAAGGGTTGTGGAATTCTAGAATGGATTATTCCTTGTTTATCTGAGCAGGATAAAACTGAACAGTCATCTGGATGAAATCTGCCTTTACGGGCTGATTTTAAAGGTTTAAATTTGACTTCTTGTAATCCACTAGTTATTAAACTAGGTGTATGTTTATTGGATGAATTATTTCTGAATACGGGTATTTTTGACTCACATGTCATACTATTTAATTCTTTTGGCATAATATATCCTTTATGATCTTGATTATCTAATGAATTCATAGTTTCGCTTGTTCGATTACTTACTACATTTATTTTTTCACCATTCAACATTGTACTTCTAGTTAGTTCTGATCCATCTTCTGTTAAATTGTTTATCGATTTAACAAAATTAGACATATAGTCCATATGACAAGATACTCCATTTGTATTTTTAACAACCGGATTTTCTTGTTTTAACTTGCTCTTATTAGTTTGAATACTTTCTTCATTATTTTGATCCAATTCAAATTCTTCTCTTACCAGTCCTAATAGTTGTGATGTTGGAAATTTTCCAGATAATTGATTTGAGTCACTCACTCCATTAAAGTCTTTTGATTCTAGTGATTTGTTCTGACATATTAAATTATTCATTGAGATATTTAGTGTATCTTTTAAACGATCAATGTTATTGCCTTGATCTTCGGATATTAATAGTTGTGATTCATGAATAAATTTATTTATATGATCAAAATTATCATTATGATTATGATGAAAATGAAATAGATTTTGAATACTTTTAGCTCTTGTCTGAGTGAATAAAGATAGATTAACAGTTTTTATTGATGTTTCATTTACTTCATCGTTTCGGTCTATTTCTTCATTTGAATCACTGTCTACATCAAATACTAATTGATATGATGAAGCTCTAATTAGTTTGCTAGAATTGCTTAACTTTTGATTGTTATTATTAATTACAAAATTGTTTGTATTATTGTCATGACATTGACTTATTAATTCACTGTTAGAGTGAAGTAAATTTGATGCATTGCACAAAAAACCGGTATTTCCTGTTTTTAAATTTTGTGTACATGTATCTTCCAATGTTTCTTCTCTATCTAAATGATTCTCTTTAATTGTAAATTCCCCATTGGAAATATCATCTTGTTTAGTGTTATGTTCAACACCAGTAAAAACATTGATTTTGATATTATTATTCTTAACATGGTTATCACTGAAGTCATCGTAAGTTTCTGAATGTTCCTCACTATCGTTGAATAAAACAGTAGCTAATAAGTCATCAGACGTTAGTCGACATTCAATAATTTTTGGATTGTTTGATTGAACATGTTGTACGATATGTTTAGAATTGTATTTTTCAATGGCATTTAAGTCACCAAATAATATAGTTGAAATGGCTGAGTCACCATCGATTGCAAAACCGTTAATAGAGCCTACAGGAACTAAGTGTTCAGAGTTCGATAACATCATATCGTTTAGATAAACCTGAAAAAAAAGAAAAATTAGTGATAGAAAACAGTACAAGATGGTTTCCTAACATTTTACGACTATAATAGTGGTTGATATCTGTAGTTGAAAGAAAACTGAATATTTGTCTTAAGTGACCACACGTACCATTTTATCTAACTCATTATTGTAGAAACAGCCTTATCCTTTTTTAATTAACCAATACATTGACATTGTTGCTATTATTATTGTGCAGTCAGTTTTCTGGATGCAACTCACTATAATTATTCTAACAAGTATTACGGTTCAGTTAGTTGATTTGTGAAGATTCCTTCTATTTGAAGATGGTTTTATTCACATACTAATAATAGTTGTGGAACTATTGATAACCAAGAAATGGTTAATAGACGTTTCAATTAAGTCTGGGACTCTTTAGCATTGTGTATTCATAACTCCTTAGTGAATTAAATTCTCAAAAACAATTAACTTATCGAACAGAATGTAAACACTTCTTCATCTAACAACTACTATACATGGGTTCTACACTGGTGTGTCAGCAATATACATTGACCGTGATTGGTATATGAACTGTTCTCAAAATATCTGACAGTTTTTTTCTGGTCGGTTCCGAATTACAGAAAGATTATCAGTTGAACGTTTTCTAGATTTTTTGCTCATGTACCGGAATTAGTTTCCTCCAATAAATTAATGTATTTCTGAATAGTTTAAATGTGCCTAACTGATTTTACATAATATTACGTAAATGAAATACTGAAAAATTAGATGATTCATCAGGTACACTTTTTATTTAATATTAATTATAAAGGCTTTTAGTTTCACACTGTTAATCTTCAAAAACGGACTGATTACCCTTTTTTGTCAAACACGTTCCTTAAATGGACGTCTGCACACTATTTGCGCTTACAAATTTATCATTTTTCGGGAAGCTTTATCAGAAGAATCCATAACGTATGTTTCTTCTTATGTGAAACCCATCGTCTGAATGTACCTCCATTCTGGGCTTTATTCCTATCCACCATTCAAAATATAATTAGCCCTGAATATTCAATAGTCTGTAACATGTATTCACATAATGAGAAGTAGTAATGATGTAATTTGTAGATGCTTAGTTGTATGATGTCGTAAATATGCGTGCATACATAAAGTTAGGGAATAATGGATATTAAATACTACTCAGTTCAATTTATACAAATCTGACTTCTAACCTGACGGTAAATAATGTAAAAGTGGTGTATTGTGGTGTTTGCATGAAATAATGATTCCTTTGTACTTGTTGACTGCTTTATTTCGAATTCCAAATACAATACGTTTGTTCGTGCTCATCTATTACTTCCTGGTTAAATTGCGTTATTTTTGGGATTCTTAGTTTGTACTATAATTAAAATACTTCTAATTATAACATGTATTCACATATCATTCTGACTTATACCCAGAATCAGGGTGGATCCATATCAGCAGTTTTTGTGTTTTCACTACAAGTCGTCAAATTTGGGCTTATTTTTAGTACCATTTACGAGCCAGTACCCAGCAGACGACTATGACACAATAACAAGCACTATAAAAATGCAAACACATACAACTAATAATAAATACTAAGACTTCTGAGTAAGTTGGTAGTTCTGTTGTTTCAATATCTTTGTCGATAATATTAACTCTGGACGATGTGTGCTAGTTCGAGCCTCAGTATAAACATCAACACTGCATTACAAACAAAATCAGAAAAAGATTTACAGGTAACGTTAAATACGAGTTTTGGAAGTATCTGATATCCACTACCCAAAACACATGATCTATATTGAGTAGAGGAAGTAGAGCACGCATTTATGATGTCATGTAAAATAAAAGTTACATAGAAAGTAAATTGCGTATGGAAGAAACTTACAACATAATATTCAGTTTTAATGACAACTCTGCATACAAAATTTTCATTGGCACGAAAACCAAATCGTTTCGCTGAACTACCATGTGATGACGTACTAGTCTCTGGTGAATTAGCATTAATATCCCAGCTACCAGTTGTTTCTATTAATATTTGCAATGGTTGTGTTTCAACAATTGGCAGTTCACATTCATCAGTTCTATCTTGTTCACTCAGTATAGTTGGGTCAAAAGCTAAATAATCAGAGATTAAGTCGATTGAAAACCTGTTTAGCAAAAAAAATAAAATATGTTAAAAGGAGATAAATATAAATCCAGGTTAGTGAAAATAAAATCTTACAAATAACATTAAAACCACTTAAGATACAAAAGTAGTTTAGTATCTACTCCTTAAGTGACTAACTTAACATAAATCTTCTAGAAAAGTATGAATTGTAATTGCTATATACAAGGTCTGAGTTATTAGACAGTGAATCTAGCTATATTTTAACAATCAGTATTTAGCTAGGTCAGTGGGTCAAAACAAATGATGCGACACTAGTTCACTGTATTCTTTTTTCTGAGTTCAATAGCGCTAATATTCTCGTTTGATTAATATACTCGAAAATCAGTCATATCAATGGGTCACAGATAGTTAAAACCATTTAAGAATATCAACGAATCTGAGAAAGTAATATGCAGCAGAAACTGAACGGCATGTGTTGATTGAATGTGTAGAGATTGACTGATGAGTATCGTACCTTCGAGATACCACAAAAATGAGCTTCACATTATGTATATTAGAATCTATGGATTGTTTTTAAAAAAGGAAACTTTATGAATATTTAGTACAGCTTGAAGAAAATTTTCATCAAGAAATGGCACCAAATAAAGAAGCAATGAAAACTAGGAACAAATTAACAATATTTACATTTAAAGCTCTAGTAACAGGTAATGAATTGTAGAGTGAAACAAATTGATAGGTTCACAGGAACTCATCAATAATACTAGCTGGAATTTGTGGTGTATCACAGACTGACCGAATTTGAAATACCAACTAGTAGATTTCAGTGTTCCCTGTGATATCTAATAATCTTCTTTTGGGGTTTGTGTGTAAATGGAATCTGCTTTTTGGAGAATCGTTGATTCAGACTAGAGAAAAGTTTCAAGCGGGTCTAAAATAACTATCTAATACTGCCTGTTGTTAAGTTCTCTGAATATTTAAAGATGTCATAATTATTTTACTGTTTTCATGTAGGAATGAATTACTGAGGTAATACGACCACAGTATATTAGTGACTGATTATTATTCCATAGGATTACTTTTACTATTTTTTAAATACTAGATAAGTTTAGAACTGTTGAATCTTTATGTAATATATTGATAGGTATTGACATTTTAAAAGATTATTAGTTATTATGAAGTTTTGGATAGATATTGTACAAATTAGGGTTACATTTGTCTACCGTTGAAACCATTTAACACATGGAATATTACGGTTAATGTTTAAGTCATTAATAAAATATATGTACACATCATAAGTGCTTGGGTTAATATTGAACATTACGTATTATAATCTAAGATATGTATCATTAATGCTTTATTTTTTTCATTATTAACCGATTGACATTATCGCTTTGATGAACTTGATATAGATTAAGAAATGTCTATTAGTATTCACTTAACATTATAAACGAATTACGTGGTAAAATACTTTTAATCTATTCTTCAAGCCACTTTTTAATCTACGATTTTATTGGAAATGATTAATGAATACGAACAAAAATTATTTATATCATCTGTAATAAATAAATGTCAATTAAGTTGATAACATTTATTTCAACATGAAACATATGATGAGTTATAACAGTTGAAAAACTCTTGAAGTGAAAGAAACATCTATTTGATGATATTTTCATCTGTTGTTAAGTAGTAGCAATGTGATAGTGAGCTAATATAATAACATTAGTTGAAATCATGAGTCATTTGAAGCTAGACCACTATGGAAGGCCTGGAAGCACTAGACGGCCGTTTCGTCCTAGTATGGGACTTCTCAGCAGTGCTTCCATGGCGGTCTAGCTTCAATTGACTCATGATTTCAACTATTGAAGTTATTAAAATCTTCACAAAACCCCTTCTGATAATTTAATAACGTTGTGATATATATTGACAAAAACATATTTTTGTGGTCTTTCAATACAAACCAACATTAAAACTTTAATCCAACCTTCTTAGTGTAACAGTATATTTCTAGTTCATATTTCGCTAACATAATAGTCAAAAATTAAGTAAAATGAGTCCATTAAGAAATTTTTCTCTGCCGACAGATATTCATTTATTTAGTCGAGTAACACCATGCATTCGGCTGTATTAAACCACAGATTAATAAAATGATCGAAGGGGTGTCAAATCAATATTTTATGCAATGTTAAGGCATTGGAAATCTACAAACTTAAGCCCGAACTTTGCATGCAGAAACGATCCGTCCAAACTCTCATCCTTCGTTGGCCCTAATTCCCTTAATGGGTATGTTTCTGGTTTTTTTCCTTTTTTCTGCACTTTTATTTGATTATTATTGATTTTTTCAAATGATTATTTTGTAGTTTAAAAATCCCCGTAGAGTATTTAAAAAAAGAAGAATATTTGAGTAAACAATTGTTTTCAATAACTTCATCATCAGGCTCTACAGTTATAAGTCCATAATTATAATAATTTACAAAGGCCAAAATTAAGGCATGTATTAATGAATTTGACAATGTTATATGTTGAAAATGGTGAACGTTTGCATCTGTTACGATACATATATAATTCAAAATTTTAATATTTGACAAATTAGAAAGGTCATTCAATAAAGGTCAGGATGATTTGGAGTAAAGTGTTCAGTCACAATAAGTAGAGAATAGTATTATAGCAAAGATGAAAATGCGAAAAATTTTGTGTGAATAAAATGCATAGTAGGAGAATTTAATCTTGTCAATTGAGATAATAATAATAAGATAGTTGTGTGAACATAATATGTAATAAGGTGTTCGCTCAAATATTCTTCATTTTTTGATTATTTTTCCATTTTAAACTCTAATCATTTATTCTTATTACCTTATACAAGTTTTCTTGATTATTATTCAGTTTATTATTATGACCTTTGTGTTTGTCGCTTTTCTTCATATCTGTCAATTGGCCTATTATCTGACCCAGAAACTATTTTCGTCCTTACCCCTTGATTAGTACGTAACCTCATTTGTTATTTAGTCTCAAATCCATTTTATGATGCAATCTTTTCTATCCTCCTTTAGATATATATTTTCCATATAACTATATATACGAATGTGAGCTTAAGTAAATGATTTCGTCAAAAAGAAAAATTTCTTCGTTGATCTCAATTAAAAGAGTTGATTGAACTCATGAGTCAGTTGAAGCTAGACCACCATTGAAAACCTGGGAGCACTGGACGGCCGTTTCGTCCTAGTTTGGGACTCTTCAGCAGTGCACATCCACGACCCCGCACCACCCGGGGCTCGAACCCACGACCTACTGGCTTCGCGCGCGAGCACTTAACCATCAGACCACTGAGCCGGCATCCAGCGGTGTTAATGTCTAACTTCAACCAATCCACGAAGTTGCGCTACCGTACACCATTGTCTTCAGTGAGTTCCTATCTCACAACAGACCTGGTTGAACTCCACTGGTAACGACTTCTCACTAGGTCGAAACGGCCGTCCAGTGCTTCCAGGTTTTCAATGGTGGTCTAGCTTCAACTGACTCATGAGTTCAATCTGTGAAAATTTCTAAAAATCTCCACAAAACACATTCTGATAAAAGAGTTGAGTTATGAAGATACTAGACGAATATTAAACTGAACAGTTTGAACGAACTGAAAGGAAATAAGCTTATGAGAAGTAGTCATTAGGGAAATATAAATTAAATACATATGAACTTATTACATTTTAATCATTTTATCTATGTACTTTTTTTTCAACCATTTTTCCTTCCCTTTTTGTCTTTGTTTTTTGTTTTTCGTAAAAGAAACTTGTTGAAATACCTTGTGTTGAGAATTCTATATTGTACCAAAATATAATACTGAATAAAGCCATTAATAATAATATACTTAGTCATTAAATAGATGTAACGCAATAGTGTTCTGATGGGCTGAGGTAACAGACGGCAACTGGGACTTAAAGTTTGTAGGAATCCCTGACTTACAGTACTTATAAACCATACACAAAAACGAAGTAGATTACTTGTTTTCACGCTATTGAAAAGAAAGTAATCATATTCAAACAACTAATACGAACCGAAATGTTATGTCTGTCACTGTTATTTTGCTGAATGCTTAACTGACTTGTGCTTGATGTTGAAACGTCGAGGTTGACGACGAATGATGATAACACAAAGGCCGGTATTATGAACTTATTTCCAGAATAAAACAAATCCATATTATCAGTCTTTGTGTTTTCACTATGCGTCGTCAACTTTGGTATTTCAGTACCAAACACAAGTCAGTCAAGCATTCAGCAAACATAACAATGACAGACAACACGAAATTTTAAAATCTCAAATGTTATCACAGGATTTTTATTATCGATATCAGTTTTATCAATAAGATAATTAGTTAACATATTGTCATTACTGGCCTAAAATATTTAACGAATTTTGCAGACAGGCTATATGAGTTACTTTTTCAAATTTCATCTAATTAAAATTCAAGTACATAGCGTCTAAGATAATATCCCTATTATTATATGGATCAACAGATCATAACAATTATGAGGGAAGATACATGGATAATTAACCGCAAATTTTTTGCGTTTAAATGACAAAAATTACATTTTTGCGTTTCATTTAGTGCAGATGCTAAGTAAACAAGAAAAGTGTAAATAAAAGAAATATGAGTATGCTAAAGAATTTAATGTGTCTGGCACTTATATCGATCAGTACTTACCAGATGTGTAATTGTAGATCTGTTTGGATATGACGAACAACCTTCTGGATTAGATAATAATCCATATACATATATAATTAGTCAGAAACCAGGGAACTTACATTTTTGATAATTTTTTCGACTTATAAATCTTTGAACTTTGAAAAAGCAAATTTATTTTGAAATTTGTCATCAAATCATTTATTAGGAGTCTACAAGATCTCTGTTTCTTTTAATTAGATTTGTCAAAAGTGATTAGATATATAATGTATTTGTATTGATATAAACATGTGTTTCTTGCAGAAATCTCAAGAAAATTAATGTCGTCTTAGGGAACTCAACTTTTGTCATTCCATGTCACATCTAGG